AATTACAGGGGATTATGCTAAAAACCTAAAGAATAGACTCTGGCTTTAAGAGAACAAAATACAGCCCTTGCCCACCACTTGTCCATTTCTGTGTCTACTCAAAGAGTATTTATTGAGTGTTTACTGTGTACCAGGAACTGCATCATGGGATTAGCATCCAGTAGTAAAAAAAGACAGATAAGTACCATGCCCTCAATAATCTTTTCCAGTTTGGGATACAGATATTAAATGAATAATTATAAATTACAGGGTGCTTTGAAAGTGGACAGGGCTAAACTGGAGTGAAGAACCCCAGCCACCCCCACCCCTATGCCCAGGTTGGCCCCTGTAAAAGCCTGAGGAGCGAGGACCCCAAGGCAGGCGTCCCGCAAACCGCAGGGGGAAATGGAATCTTGCTGGGTCAGGTCCCTTGGGGACTTAATTATCCTTTACCCTTGCCTAGCTTTTCTTCTCCGTCCCCCCCGGCTATGATCTCTTGAGCCCGAATCCACGCGGTTATTGAACACCAGGAAAAGATCATCAGTGTCTCCTCCCCCCCATTGCTGTAGACAGAGGGCAGCCAAGTGAGCCTGGCCTAAAACATAATACTCCACCCAGGGTCATCCTGTCTGAGCAAAGTGCCTTTCTAAATATGGGCCATGCACCCGGTGGACTTCATTTCATGTTAATGTTTCTTTAACAGACACAAGAATGGATGATATTGTTTTTATATTTTTATATTTCTTGTTGTTTCTCATTTGGTGAATATGAGGCCTAAAGAGGTTATATTATCCATATTTTGGCTCCATGAGTTATACGTGAGCAGAACATAGACTTAAATCCAGGTCACTTGCTGATGTCAGTTCTCTAAGTGGCTCTATCTCTCTCTCTTTCTCCAGGAAGTCCCTTCCCTGAAACACTTCTTCCAGAAGAGTCCGTTGCTTGTACTCCTATTGCATGTCTTAATTGTTTCCCTTATTTTTCTAATAAAATATTATGGCTCTCATTTCAGTCTTTTGCCGTTATTTTGATGAGTCGCTCTGACTAATTCCTGCATAGACTGGAAGCTCTCTCTGAGGACTCTTGTGTTTTCGCTCATCACCCTCTTTCCCTATCGCCTTGCCGTTCTTCAGCAATGGGGCGCTTTTCGGCATCTGGCAAATTCCCGGCCGCACGATGAATTAGCTGTCTTATTGTAAGAAAATTTAAAAGATGCTAATGGTCCTATTACCGATTCCAGAGTCGAGTGTAGCATTCCTTCAT